GAAAATTAAACCTTATTTTCAATAAGCAATCCTGAAAAATATTTGGGGGTGCTTAACTTTTTTCCAGGTGTATATATTAAAACACCAAATGAATATTTAGTAATTAACATTTATTCACCACTTAAAACCTTTCAAACACTGACTGTATAACGTTAGTAATAGTAGGCCAATTTGTAGTCTAATTTAATACATAAACGTAACCTAAGGCTTAGTTGAAACACTATTTGGTAAATTTTATTTTGTTTTTGGCTACAAATAAATGTCATAAAACTTCTGAATTAAACTATTTTGCTGTTATATCCCCTAAGTTATCAACAACAAAAAATAAAGAATAGAAAACAAAACTTTCTAACGAATCAACATGAATATTGAGCATTCAACGTACACACCATAGTTGTCCTAAGAACAATCGGATGATAGTTTTGTTGCGAAGCGACAATGTGTATTGTTGAACACTACCAAGAAAGGAGCGTGAAAGCGTTCTTGACAGAATGGCCAAGGGAATAAGCCTTTTATAGTTAGTGATGGTATGGTTTAATTTTTTGTTTGTTTTACATATGTAATTAGTTATTAATTAAATTATGATAAGTTTGCATAATTCAAATTTGTTATGAGTAACGGCTTTAGTTTGAATTTATTACTAGACATTTTCGTTTGGTTTATATATATATAACCATATTAAAACAAATTAATGGAAAACATTGTGTTGGTAAAAGAAAATAAACAAGTTCGTAGCACTGTTAGCATCCCTAATGGTTTGCTTCAAGTTGGTTGTTAATCCTCGTAAGGTAATTTATAGACTGCAAGAGACTGGGATAAAAAATCTCCTTAGTCTTTGTTAATTATTTTCTTTTAATTTTATTGAATTCAATAAAGACAGAGACTTTAAACGGAGTTAAAATCCTTGTGAAACAACATGACACACATTGTACATTTGCAAAAAAGTGCCATAAATAATAGATGTTTGGAGTTTAGTTTTGCCTTATTTGTTTTCTGTTATTTCCTAATGAACAGGCCATTTTGTAGGTCTTTTTTTTAATTAAGTGTGTACATTATTATTCTTTTATTATGGATAGAGTGTATCTTGATGTAAAGCAGTAAAACTAGAAAATTCTCACTTAAGTTGCTTTGCAATCCCATTAATATTTGCACTAAAAATTAATGAAACATAGATAATGAATATTATCACTTCTTTAAATATCTTTTCCGCCCTTAGCGTTTAAGAACAATGTTATTTTACGCGTGTCTCAAGATGGCATTACATTGTAATCTGTCAGTCGAAAGCCTACGTGTGGATTGAAAGTCTATAGCAAGAAGTACGAGAAGATTTGCGTGATCCAGCCTACGTCATATCTTTCACCGTCTACACACTTTTTAGGAAACTGTTTGTTAATAAAGAAATAATATCTAAATAAATACTAAACCAAATGTATTTTTATAAAGTATTCTTAAGCAAGTAAGCAATTGGTCCATAGGTGACTACATAGGACTTCAGTCGCAAATGTAAGGTTCATCTCAAATATGTTCATTCAAATGGAGCTACAGTGATTGTGCAGGTTAAATAAAGCTCTTCAAATCTATTTCCGACAAAATGAGCATAAGGGATTGTTGAAGTATCGTCTAAAAACATCCCCTGTTTATCGGGGGCGGAATTGTAGCATTGTGAAGTGATCATGATCATCAGCTCTAGATGTTATTCACTCTTTTATAGAAAGCAGAGTTGCTAGGAGAAAGTTTACCACACCATTACACCACCTCTAGCTCTGTTCTTTTATGAAACAACACAGACAGGATCAAGCAATTCATTTGGTTTCTTTACAATTTTTCTTCATCAATAGGATATCCAAATTACGCCACACTTTGTTAGTTATTTATTGTCTACAGTGTTTGTGTATGCTCTAAATACAACTGAAGCCTTTCTTTCCTGTTTACATCTGAGTAAACCGATTTTTCAACCAACCTAAACCTTCCATATGATAGTTTTATAATGCCCTTCCTATGATTCGGTTACAGATAATTGAATTTTGATCACTAGCAAAGGAATTGATCAATTAGAACACATTCTGACGCCGGACCCATTTTACAAGCCTGTCTAATAATCTTTTCTCTAGGTTAGTCACCAGAAATTGGCAGCCAAACTTTTTCTATATTTAGAGTGGCAAACGTATTTCATTTTGGTTGCCACAGTTATAGACTTTGATAAAAAATATATTTGAACAACCGGTCGAAAAACGATCTTTGATAATGACTTTCCTACTAGACACAATATCATGCTGCTTTGAAAGTCGTAGAGATTACTCCTATCATCCAATGTTTCGTAGCTTAACCATAATATGAATACATCCATGCATTCTTAGAGCTCAAACAATAACTTGCCACATCACATGACTCACATTTTTGCATATGCAAATAAATGGAACGTTCTATTGACGTGTGTGTGTGTGTGTGTGAAGATCAAAGTGGCCAGTAAGTATATATCTAACAAGCAATATGAAAATATGCTTGGCTGTTTGAGTAGTTTTAGTTCATAGAACAACTTTCTCTTTGAATTTCATATTTACTAATAATGTGACCAGCAATTCATTGACAGCTCTCGAAACTTATTTAAGATACGATAAAGATTTAAATAAAATTGTGTATACCTAATTTGAGAAATATGATAAGTTCTCTGAACGTTTAAAGTCTTGGGATTGTCAAGATCCTGCATAGCAATTAACTAAAGTTACTGTTTTTTATCAAAATATGTAACTTTACAAACTTGTGATTAGTGACAATGTATTCTAAGTATGGATTGATATTATTCACAAGGGTGTATTCTAAGTATGAATTGTAATTATTGACAAGGACTGTATGCCAAGTATGAATTGTGACTATTGACAGGGAGTGACTATCAAGTATTGGTTGTGACGGTTACAGGGACTGTATGCCAAGTATGGATTGCGACTGTGGACAATAAGTGTACACCAGGTATGGATTGTGACTGTTGACATGGGTCTATACTAAGTATGAATTGTAATTATTGACAGGGACTGTATGCCAAGTATGGATTGTGACTGTTGACAATAAGTGAATACCAGGTTTGGATTGTGACTGTTGACAGGAAGTGTATACGAGGTATGGATTATGACTATTGACAGGAAGTCTATACCAAGTATAGATTATGACTGTTGACACGAGTGACTATCAAGTATTTATTGTGACTGTTCACAGGGTGTGACTATCAAGTATTGGTTGTGACTGTTGACAGGGGTGTATACCAAGTATGGATTGTGACTGTTGATAAGGGATATAAACTAAGTATTTATTGTGACTGTTCACAGGGTGTGAATATCAAGTGTGGATTGTGACTATTGACATGAAGTGTCTACCAATTATGTATTGCGACTGTTGGCAGGAAGTGTATACCATATATGGATTGTTATTATTGACAAGGGTGTATACCAAATATGGGCTGTTATTGTTGACAAGGGATGTATGCTAATAATATAAGGCTTGGAGAGCTAAGAGGCCAAAACACTTAGTAACAGATATAATAATAATAAAAAAACATCCACAATTCCGTATACATCAGTGAAGATATTTAGTCATTATAATGATAATTCTGGATGACGACTAAACTAACGATTAATAACATTTCTTAAATATCGAGTAACTAATGTGTATTGTTGTTAACAAGTCCCGAATATCGAGTAACTAATGTGTATTGTTGTTAACAAGTCCTGAATATCGAGTAACTAATGTGTATTGTTGTTAACAAGTCCTGAATATCGAGTAACTAATGTGTATTGTTGTTAACAAATCCTGAATATCGAGTAACTAATGTGTATTGTTGTTAACAAATCCTGAATATCGAGTAATTAATGTTTATGGTTTTAACAAGTTCTGAATATCGAGTAACTAGTGTGTATGGTATTTAAAAAGTCCTGAATATCGAGTAACTAGTGTGTATGGTTTTAACAAGTCCTGAATATCGAGTAACTAGTGAGTATAGTATTTAAAAAAAATTGAATATCGAGTAACTAGTGTGTATAGTTTTAACAAGTCCTGAATATCAAGTCATAAAAGTTTATAATTATTAATAGGTCCTCGATCATGACTGAACAATGTTTACTATCATTAACAGGTCCTGGATACAAAGGAAACAACTTTCTGCATGACGGAAGCCAAGGATGGTCTCTTTACTCACGACTCTAGTAAGTTTGTACCTATTTCCGGTTACATCCGGGTGACTTCTTTTCATGAATATTGGTAAACATAGAAGTCCAAATTGTTGTGTTTAGAACAACAAAAAATCATGTAGTTTCAAACTTGAAATAATGTACAAAACTCACAGAACTGAAAATGTGAAGGAAAAAAAAAGTAAATATTGTTGGTGATCCCCAGTCTTGAATTTAACATAAAACGTGAGAAATATATGTTCAAAGACTTTCTGGAAAAACCTAGCACTTTTGTAATAAGATTTTTTATCAAGCCTATTCATCTCTATTGTCATATTTAAAAAACAAACGGGTGAATGCAAAAATTGGGAAAAATTGTTCTTGAAAATCATAATTCAAAACACCTAATAAGAAATAGGTTAGGTGACTTATTATTGAGGGGCGGTTTTTAATCTGCGGTTGTAAACCTCTCTCCAACTTTTTCTACATAGTTCAGAGAACTGTCTGCACCTTATATTAGGAAGGAACAAGCTGTACTAGACTGTGAGATCCTCTGGGACCCAGTGGTAAGTTTACCAACTTACAACACTAAAATACTGGGCTCAATTCTCCGCGGTAGATAGAGCGCAGCTATCCCAATGTGTGGATCTATTCTAAACCAGACAAGCAAACAGCATTATTATGAGGACTTTGTGTAAACAAAACGTTTTAATTGATCTTTCTTCCGGAAGCAATGCCGTTGGGGTGAAGCTCTCCCCCCTCCCCCAGTGGCTCAGCGGCAAATCTGACCACTTACTGTGTTACGTTACTGCGGTGAGCACAACACAGATAGACCATTATGTAGCTTTGCCCTTAAGCAGAAGCAAACAATCAAACAATGTTCGGATGGATTAAAGACGCACTTTACAAGCTATGTTTAACTGTGGACCTTATCTTTCTTCTTACCTACCTGCTGAGGTCGTCATTCACAAAGGACAAAGAAAGAACAACACTAGGCTGAAGCTTGTTTAGTTTTTGCTGTTATGACTTCAGTATTTTTCTGGGAATACATATGACATTCGGATATTAATAAACGCTTGCATTCTATGTAACATTAAGTACCGCAGTTATACCAGAAGCAAGCCGACTAACACGGGACGTTTGGAATTTATTACAGACTTTTCAGTGAGGATGTGACGAATTCAAAGTTAATGTAACGAAAATTTCACGTACAACAATTCTATTCTGCTGGCACTGTAAACTTATTATTCAGGTTTGCTAAGTGTGAACATCGAGACATGAGTGTACAAATTTTCATAGAAAATATACATTATTGGTTTATATATATACTAATTGGAATACCCGGCTTTGCTGGGGTTATTAGGTTGATATATTCTAGATGACTATGTCAGTATATGTATTCTGAGCCTATTTTAGCAGAGAAGAACAGTCAAGAATATTTTAAACATATTTTTATTTCCCAGAAACATAAAAAAGTCGTAAAGGTACGGTAATAATAAAATTATTATATATAATTATAGATACCATTATTCGTCACGTTATCTAACCTATATACAAGCCAGTGTGTGTCGCGTCACCTCACGCTTGATTTTTCTTAATTGCTCGAAATAAGAGGAGTCATAAAAGCTAAAATACATTTATCCAGATAGAATAGCTCGTTTAATGCCTGCCCATTATGACTTTAGTGACAGGGATGCAAAGGAACCGTGAAGGGAGTTGCCGTGAAACCTTGTAAGTGTAGTAAATGTTGAGATGATTTAAAGAACTTAAAAAGTCTAAAGTAAAAACATAGTGTGAGATAACCTAGCCTAGAGCCAAGTGAATAAACGTTATCATCCAAGTAAAAATATCAATCTAATTGTAAACTTAAATCGTTTCTGAGTTTAATCAATGGAGACTCTAAATTAAGAAATATTTTTTTCAATTTTGTAGTCTATACATTTCATTTTATACTTTCAGTAGATGGACTTACAATAATATTAGGTTATACATTTGTTGTTAAGCAATATGACATAAAAGCCATTGTTGGAACGCATTGTTACCAAAACGCACTGGCTTTTCTATATATTAGAAGTTGTTATATAAGAAACCACTTCTATTCTGTGTGTTTTTTCGCTTGCTCACCTCACAAAAAGATGCGCACGCGCTTAACAATACCCAGATGCACACCCACAGGGTCCACTTAGTATGAACTCAACATTAAACATTAGTAAATTTGTAAGGTACAATACGTAAGAAACATTCTTATTTTAAGCTAAAGATACTGAAATAACTGGAAAACAAAGAATTGGGTGTTACTTTGTAAATTGAATAATAATCAGATTTATGGTAAGTTATACCATACCTAAGTTGGTGTTATTAAACTTTGTGATAAGGTAAAATATTTAAAGTAGATTTCCCTTAGTAGGACTGGAATAAAACGTCGGAAATAATATCAATAATAATAAATAAATAAATAAATAAATAAATAAAAGCATAATTTAGACCAATTTCCATCGTAAACAGTTAAAGCATAATAAGAAATATTGTAAAAAATATTAAATATAACTTAGTATTTTTAAGCGTGAGTTAACACGCATCTTACGATGATTTCCACATCAGTAATAAATTCGTACAGAAGATTCAAACCGTTCAAGTACCAAAAAATACAACTATAACTGATATTTTGAATTTAGAAAGATATTATAATTTTGTCCAAATAATATCAATGTAATGAAAAAAAACTGTTTTCAGATATATTTTAAATACAAATATCGATGCCTGGTGTCATTGCTCAGTTAACAGTTATGTCATTCATAATACCTTATTTGTTATCTAATGTAATAGTAACGATATATATTTATAATACCTTATTTATGAGCTTCTGTAATAGTAACAACATATACTTATAATACCTTATTTGTTATCTAATGTAATAGTAACGATATATATTTATAATACCTAATTTATTATCCTATGTAATAGTGACAACATATACTTATAATACCTTATTTATTATCTAATGTAATAGTAACAACATATATTTTTAATAACTTATTTATTAGTTTCTCATTAATTGCTAGTGATACAGATTACTTTATCAGGTTTTTTTTACATTGTATTTGTCACTGATTGTCAAAAAATATTATATTGGCTCATTTCATTTCCCATATCTTTCACAGTTCTTACCAACGTTTCCTTTTCTTTATTTCTTTCAACCTAGTCACCTTCTCGTTCTTTGTCTTTCAATGTTCTCTTTTATTTTTGTTAATCTATTCCCATTAAAGCACATCCGTTCTTATTTTCTCCCTTTCCTTCCGTTCTACTTATATATTTTTTTTATTTCTTCATTTATTTTTCTGCTCAAATTTTGTTTCATCAAGCCCTTTCTTCTTTTAGATAATTTCGGTTTCTTGTCTTGTTTTTCTGGTTTTTAGTTCTCTCGATATGTCTCAATATATGTGTAAACATAACATATTTCTAATATGCACATGGTAAGCGGTCTGTTGAAAGTACAAAATATGCCAGTCCAAACCATTATTCAACACAAGTGTATGTGTGTCCGCTTATAACAGCGAACCTCTAGACCGATTGTCGTCAAATTTAGCGTGTACTCTTAGGGCCTGACGGGAAATTACAAATGGGGTTAGTATTCGGACCTGAATCCCTTACGTCACCCTGGGAGCTCCTATGTTTTCCGTGTACTTTGCGTCAGATAATAACTGATATGTCCTGTATACAAGTTTATAATGATTGTGTCTGATCGATAGGTAAATAAAAATATTACATGATTGTCATTAACTAGGAAAGCAATATTTAAATTAGAAATCAGTATTAACTGTGTTATTTTTGTTTTATAAAAATACATTCCTGATTGACACGTGTATGATATGATGTGTTTTGCTAGACAAACAATATCTTATCTCAAGGACCGCCTCTTGTTACCAGTATATTTTATGTAATAAAATATGTGTAGTCAGACAAAACAATATATCTCAAGGACCGCCTCTTGTTACCAGTATATTTTCTCAAGGACTGCCACTTGTTACCAGTATATATATATATATATTAACATAATAGTATGCTGTCTGTTGTCTGTCCATGTAACTACTTCTCAGGGTTTGGATGGATTCTCATCAAATTGGGTATGGAGGTTCAGTGGGTCTATGGGGAGAAACATACAGATTTTCAGTTTTGCGTTTTGTATTTTGCGATTTTTATGGGCGTTTTTACCATTACTTTGCCCCTGTTGATGGACCTTCGCCTAATTTAGCATGAAGGTTTGTTGGGTCCATGTGGAGATACACGCAAACTTGTGGTTTCACATTTTGTATTCTGAAGTTTTTATTGTCGTTTTTTACAATTACATATAAGGACAGTAACATTTCATGTCCTAAGATAACCTTTCATTAATCATGAATTTACATAACTTCCGTCTGGGGGACGGGTACTCCAGCTAATATTTTATATAATAAGATATGTATCGCCAGACAAACAATATCCCATCCTAAGGACTCCCACTTGTTATCAGTATATTTTATATAATGAGATATGTGTCGCCAGACAAACAATATCCCATCCTAAGGACTCCCACTTGTTATCAGTATATTTTATATAATGAGATATGTGTCGCCAGACAAACAATATCCCATCCTAAGGACTCCCACTTGTTATCAGTATATTTTATATAATGAGATATGTGTTGCCAGACAAACAATATCCCATCCTAAGGACTCCCATTTGTTATCAGTATATTTTATATAATAAGATATGTGTCGCCAGACAAACAATATCCCATCTTAAGAACTGTCATTTGTTACCAACATTTTTGATAAGGTGGAAGTTAACGACATTGCCATTGGCTCTTTACGTATTTTGTACAACACAAATTAAAATACTGGCGACAACATTGTAGGCATGTTGTTTAATTTCTTATCCAGCTGCTTACGGAAGATGAAGAGAAACTTATTTCTAATAACGTTGAGCGGTTTCTCTAGCCCTAACGAAGTCATAGACTCGGGTAATGTAAATTATTTATAGCGACAATCGATTTTTTC